GTCACTGTCTTCCTTGGCATTGTCTTGCGTGGCAGCGGCTAGCTCCTTCTCGGCACGGGCGGTCTTGGAAGGACGAGCGTGACGCAACGACTCCATTTTTCCATCTCCAATTTTAGTCGAGGCAGAAATGGTAGTCGCAACTGCTATAACCGCGGGTGTGTTTTGCTGTAACAGCGCCAGCAGTGCCGCCACTTGCTTGTTGGTCAAAGCAGGGGCGGTGGGTGTTGGCGCGCTGGACGAGGCCGCCCCGCGGCCTCACTTGTTCTGACGCGAGGGGCCTGCCCTGCCGTTCGGCGCCTTCTGCGCGCTGGCGTCAGCAGGTGACGCACCATCCGCTACTTGCGTCGCCTGCTACTCGTTGGCGCGTAGCTCACCAAGCTCAACTTGGTTGACCTCGCCACTGCGCAGCAACACGTCGAGGGCAGAAGGGGCGAGGTCGCCCTTTTCCCGACGCTTGTTGCCGCGATCACCCCCCATTTCACGGGCGTTCTTCTCGGGTTTCAAAATATTCAGAGTGTCGACGGGCGGATGTTCAGCACGATTGGTCGGGGTGCTAGGAGGGGCCATGGCTGCCTGGTTATGCGTAAGGATACCGGCGAGAAGCTGGGAGGGTGCTTCCCCGCGAGGGAGAGTTTTCAACTTCGCCAGAGTGGCGGAGCGAAAAAGGCGGGATGGGAACTCAATTGAACTTGAGCTGGGGAAAATAAAAAACGTGGGTGGAGGAAGAATGAACTCCAACCCCATCACCGTATATGGTTGGAGAACGGCGAAACGCGCACTTCGGCGATGCCTGAGATTGCGTTACAAGCAGCTTCGCATTCACAATACGCAATCTTGAAAGTGTGAACACTTTAAAAATTTACCTTATATAATTGTAGGCTTGGTATGTGTTACTAGATCCTACTGTAGAGGGGACAACCCTGTTAGAATACGAGAATGAGTTGACTAGTGTGAGAAACCAAGAACATATACCTGTTGGGGTTGTACTCACTAGAAGCTGTTGGTGCAACCCTATGGCTTGCACTCGGCTTGTCGTCCTTGTTTGTGTGTGTGCATGCATGGCATGGAATGAATTGTGAGTCTATGTCATTGCTATCTAGTGCTTGTGTGTGTGTTTGAATGGTGTATCACAATGTGGTTTGTGTCGGTCAAGACATTAGCGAGTTTTTACAACTCGCATGTCAAGTCGTTGTTTGTGTGTCGCATGTGTTTTTTCTATTTTGTCGAGTGTGAAGTGTCCATCGCGTCGCAGGTGTGTGCAGCAAGCCCCCATCAACTCAGGAAGAATTTATCTTGCAGATCCAAGACCAAGAGCTCAAGATTTCAAGCCCAAGGGACGCGGATAAATATTAAATAGTGAAAATAGTAACGCTACTTCGTGTAGTGTTACATTTCACTTGCTGTAGCCCCTTGGAGGGTTGGTTTCGAGACTCTTCGTGGTTGGGGACTCTATGGTGGTGTACCACAAATCAGGACCTCAGCTCTTGGGGTATGTAGAGGCTGGGAACCATCTCTCTCGAATTCTTCTCCCTAAGTTTTTTTTGTACTCCTACGACTATAGTGGCTGCTTTACCTCCTGCCAGTCAAACCGCCATAGCGTCGTGAAATCTTCATGGAATTTCATGATTCAAATTGCTGCTAATAGACGACAGCACCGCGCTCTGGATCCAATTTACAGATCACCATTTAAGTCAGCGAGCAGATCGTGATCAATATTTGAAGCCGTCTAACGGAAATCCGACAGTGCTCTCTATCTCTCATTATTGGCACATCTGAGCCTATTGTGACTATAACAAGTGGTATCAGAGCCCCTTGGAGCTGTCTCGACCATGCCTAGGCCTGAGGAAGGGGGTGGCAGAGGTGATGGAGGCAGAGAAGCCGCCCAAGCACAAGGTCAACACCAAGATCCACCCGTTGCTCCGGTGCAACCTAGCCTTGGACCCTCTAGGGATGAGCCTAGAGTGTTTGGCCTTGACAAGTTCAACGGTGACAACTTTGCTGAGTGGTATTTCAAGATGGAGAACATCTTTGACCACTATGATCTGCTGGAGGTGATGGAAGGAACGGAGAAGCGCCTCGAGAACGACCCGGAGAAGAGCCTGTGGGTGCGGAAGAGCGCACAAGGCTACCTTCTACTTGGGCAAGCGTTGGGGAGCAGCCAAATCCGTCACATCAAGCCTTTTCAGCGTGAACCAGCAAAGGGACCAAAGGCATGGGCTGCTCTCAAGGGTGTACACGCTCCTGCAACAGCGGCGGTGGCTGTGGTTTTGGAGCGGCAAATGGCGGCACTTCGAATTGACGAAGGCGAACCGGTGGAGGAAGGAGTGCAAAAATTCTTCGACTTGTTGACACGGCTCGAAGGAGCTGATCTGAACTACAGTGACCTTCAAAAGAAGACCAAGCTGCTGGCCTTACTTCCGGACTCATGGTCCTTGCTCATCATCAACCTAAATCGAGATCTGCCCCGTCTCTCACTCGAAGATGTGAAGCGGGAAATCTTACAAGTAGATTTCCGCCGACGCGAATTGGCGGGTCCCGATGGTGCCGGAGTTGCAAGCATGGGCCGTGGGCACGGCAGTGGAAGAGGCAGAGGGCAAGGAGGAAGATTTGGCAGCAGTAACTTCAGTGGAGGCCGTGGTAATGGAGGATATGGCAGCAACAACAACAACAATGGCTACGGGCGTGGGCACGGTCGATTTGATGGCGAATGCCACTTTTGTCACAAGACCGGCCACATGTGGAGAGATTGCTTCAGATTGCCTGATGGATGGACCCCTTCTCAAGGCCAAGAGGGCAGATGAGCAAGGGAGGAAGAGGCAGAGGTCGTGGAGGCCGTGGTGGCCATGGAGGTGAACAGCAAGCATGAAAGGTGGAGACTACGACAAGGACTCGAGTGAAGATCGATACCCGGGCCAATTCTACTTTGTCTCCACGCAAGCGGCAGCTGCAGCAGGAGGTGTGGAAGGCTTTGAGGAGCCAGCTACTGTGGGAAAGGTCACCCTTCACTCTCTGGACTTTTGGGTGATCGATAGTGGCGCCACTTATAGCATGACACCTCGTGCGGACTTGCTCACCGAACTCGAACCGTCGCCGGTCAAGCATGTTACATCGGCTTTGGGGCAGCGAGCAGAGGTGAAAGGCATGGGCAAGGCCATGTTCAAGGGTGCTGATGGGAAGATGGTGGGCCTCAAGAACGTTCTTTGGGTGCCCAACCTAGCAGCCAACCTGATCTCTGTTCGGCGTTTGCAAAAGGCCGGCATGGACACATCTTCCAAGGGCTCCAAATCCTATACCGCGAGGCTTGGTGAGCGGAAGCTTTGGGACCTTCATGAGGACAGGGACATCTACAATGAGATGTGGCAAATCCTAGTGGTCCCCATGCCTAAGGGGAGGCAAGTGGCGCAAAGCATCAGCACCAAGAGTGAAGCGGTTGGTGGCAGTGATCACGGAAAACAAAGTGACACCAAGAGTGACTCGAAGGAGTGCAACCTTGGAGAGACCAGCAAGGCGTGTGAACCCAAGGAGAGTGGTGCAGCAGCCAAAGGTGGTGGAAATGAGGAGGAGAAGCCTAAGATCAGCAAAGAAGCAGCGGCAAAGGAGAAAGGAGAGAGCTTGTGGGGCACGATTGCGAGTGCCGCTTTCTCCAACCCGACTTCCGCTACGGGAGAGTGTGATTGGCTGACCTTCCATCGGCGAATGGGGCATGGGGCATTGCCCATTTTGCAGCAGATAGTTAAGCAAGAGATGGTCAGTGGGATACGTGTCAAGGGGGAGCCCAATGAGGTGCTTGGCTATCCAACATGCATGCAAGCCAAGTTCACCCGCTACCCGTTCCATAGCTCGGAGACAACGGCGAAGGCACAACTTGATGAGGTGGTGATGGATGTGGTGGGCCCTGTTGGTGCAACCCTATGGCTTGCACTCGGCTTGTCGTCCTTGTTTGTGTGTGTGCATGCATGGCATGGAATGAATTGTGAGTCTATGTCATTGCTATCTAGTGCTTGTGTGTGTGTTTGAATGGTGTATCACAATGTGGTTTGTGTCGGTCAAGACATTAGCGAGTTTCTACAACTCGCATGTCAAGTCGTCGTTTGTGTGTCGCATGTGTTTCTTTTATTTTGTCGAGTGTGAAGTGTCCATCGCGTCGCAGGTGTATGCAGCAAGCCCCCATCAACTCAAGAAGAATTTATCTTGCAAATCCAAGACCAAGAGCTCAAGATTTCAAGCCCAAGGGACGCGGATAAATATTAAATAGTGAAAATAGTAATGCTACTTCGTGTAGTGTTACATTTCACTTGCTGTAGCCCCTTGGAGGGTTGGTTTCGAGACTCTTCGTGGTTGGGGACTCTGTGGTGGTGTACCACCAACCTGGACCTCGGCTCTTGGGGTATGTAGAGGCTGGGAACCATCTCCCTCTCGAATTCTTCTTCCTAAGTTTTTGTACTCCTAAGACTATAGTGGCTGCTGTACCTCCTGCCAGTCAAACCGCCATAGCGTCGTCAAATCTTCATGGAATTTCATGATTCAACTTGCTGCTGATAGACGACAGCAACGCGCTCCAGATCCAACTTACAGATCACCCTTTGACTCAGTGACCAGATCGTGATCAATATTTGAAGCCGTCTGACGGAAATCCGACTGTGCTCTCTATCTCTCATTATAGGCACATCTAAGCCTATTGTGGTTATAACAGGCCCCTTGTGCTTCTGCTACTCATCTCCAAGGGCAGCTCCACATGCTCCAAGCTGGTACTCTTCACCTTTCCCAGCCGCACACCAATCTTCGCTTGATTCTCCGCTTTCCAGTCCTTGTACGGTAAGTTCTCCATGAAGCCATCCCTTGCTGTTTTGAGCCATGCCCAGGTGCACGGCCCATGTTGCCTTGGCATCAAGCTTGTTGTGCCAAAGTTTCTTAGGCACAAGTGCCACGCACATGCACCCGAACACCCGAAGCATATCCACCTTCGGCTTCCTTCCAATCCACTCCACATAGGGCACCCATTTGTTTTCTCCCACGTGAGTCAAGGCTCTGTTCTTGGCCACACAAGCATGACGCACCGCATCTGGCCAAAAGTAATTGGGTAGACCGGCTTCAATGAGAAGTCCCCGAGCCGTCTCCGTGAGTGTCCGATTCGCACGCTCGGCGATGCCGTTCATTGCAGGAGAGTAGGGCATGGTAAGAGAGTGCGTTATGCCCTGCTTCTTCAACCATGTTGAGAAATCCTTGCTCAGGAACTCTCCCCCACGGTCAGTGTGAATTGCCTTCACAAGCCGGTCTTGTTGCCCCTCCACCATCGGCAACCAATCGGTCTTCACCGTTTCAGCTACATCACTCTTCTTAGGCAGCACATACACCCAAGTCATGCGAGTGTAGACGTCCACAATGGTTGAGGCGCTCGGTCTGTCCGTCTGTCTGCGGATGGTAAGCGGATGACATGGCAAGTTTGGTTCTGAGAAGAGACATAAGTTCCTTCCAGAACTTGCTGGTGAACTTGGGGTCTCGGTCGGAGATGAGTGTGGTTGGAATGCCATGCTGTGGGATGATGTGACGAACGAAGAGTTGTGCTGTCTCCTCGGTGCGCGCCGTCGTGTGTGTCGGGATGAAGTGTACCATTTTGGAGAACTTGTAGATGACGACAAGGATTGCGTCATGACCGCTGGTGGTAGGTGGTAACCCGGTGATGAAGTCCAGGCTAACCACTTGCCATGGCTGTTCTGGGACAGGAAGAGGCTGCAGTAGTCCCGCCTTTTTCTGCTTGCTGCTCTTCATCCGCTGACATGTATTACACGAGGTGACGAATTTCTATACGTCATCTGCCATGTGGGGCCAGTAGTAGTGTTTGGCGATACCGGTGAGCGTCTTGTTGCTACCGAAGTGTCCGGCATATAGGAGGTCGTGGTATTCTTCGAGTAGTAACTGGCGCAAAGGAGGGTAATTGGGTACCCACATTTTCGTTGATCCTTTCCGGTATGCGATGTCATTGTCCCACTGTAGCAAATGTCGCTTTTCCGCCAAGGAGATTTCGGGGTCGATGGCGTACCCGTGTGTGAAGAGTCCCTTGAGTAGTGGATTCATCCCTTCAATCTGAATGGCGGCAACGTGTGCAGGCCGGCTAAGAGCGTCTGCTTTGTTTTTATGGCCGGGCTTGTACACGATGTCGTAGTGGAAGTGTGTCTCGAGGAATTCGATCCACCGGACCTGCCGCCTGGAAAGGTTGGGTTGTGTCTTCAAGTATTTCAGGCTGCAGTGGTCAGTGTAGACGGTTGTTCTTCGTCCTTCGAGATAACATCTTCATGCTTTGAAGGCGATGACGATGGCAAGGGCCTCTTTGTCGTGTATCGGGTAGTTTAGTTCTGCTCCATGTAGTTTCTTGCTGAGGTAGGCGATTGGTTGGAGTCCATTCCCCTGGTCTTGCATCAAGACTGCTCCCACTGCCTGGTCGCTGGCGTCAGCTTCGATTACGTAGTCGCGTTCGGGATCTGGCAAGATGAGTACCGGTGCGGACGTGAGTGCTTGTTTCAGCTGCTCCACGGCTTCTTGGTGCCTCGGTTCCCATTTATAGGGCGTGTTCTTCTTCAGCAGATTCGTGAGGGGTGCTGCAAGTTTCGCATACTTTGGCACAAACCTGTTGTAATAATTAGCGAAACCTAGGAACTGCTGCAACTCTTTCACGTTCTCGGGTGTCTTCCACGTACGTACGGCTTCGATTTTCTTGGGGTCGACGTGAACTCCTTCAGCGCTCACCAGGTGTCCTAGGAACCGGACCTTCTCAAGGGCGAATTCGCTCTTGGACAGTTTGACATAGAACCGTTCATCTGCAAACTTTGGGAAGAGTGAAGGTCATGCGGCTACTCCTCTTCCCTCAGGGTTCAAGTGTGTGAAGGGACCAGCAGAGAAAAGTTTTGGTGAAGAGGAGAGGCGGCGTTTTCACTCCTTGGTGGGCAGCCTCATGTATGCGGCCGTTCATACAAGGCCGGATGCAGCCTTTGCTACCGGGCAGCTGGCTAGGGTTGTCCAATGCCCTAATGAAGAGCAGGTAGCAGCTGGAGAGAGGGTGGCCAAGTACCTTGGCCAAACAGCAACTGTTGGTCTGCAATACTCCGCGGCGGCACAAAGGCATCAAAAGGGTGCGGATGGAGTCGAACCCGGGAGGCTCTTTCTCACCGCCTTCTCTAATGCATCTTGGGCATCAGAACCAGAGGACATGACAAGTGTGGGAGGCTTCATCTGCTGTGTTGGTGGAGGACCAACAGCTTGGGAGAGCAAGAAACAAGTGGACCAAGCATTGAGCTCGGTGGAGTCCGAGTACATGGCACTCTTCTGTGCCATAAGAGAGGTTGTGTGGCAGCGGCGTTTGCTAGCTGAATCGGGGGAGGAGCAGCAAGGACCTACCCCACTCTAGTCTGATAGCCAAGGTGCTATTTCATTGGCAAAGAACCCCCTTCTTCATGGCCTTACCAAGCACATGAAGGTGAAGTGGCATTGGGTGAGGAGCATGGTAACCGCGGGTGAAGTGGAGTTGCACTACGTGAAGACTACGGCGCAGCCAGCTGATATGATGACCAAGAGGCTCGTTGAGCAGCAACATTGGAAGTGTTGCAAGCTTTCTGGGATGGCTCTGAACTAAGAGGAGCAGATTATAAGGCCAACAATCCGAGGGGGAGTTTGTTGGTGCAACCCTATGGCTTGCACTCGGCTTGTCGTCCTTGTTTATGTGTGTGCATGCATGGCATGGAATGAATTGTGAGACTATGTCATTGCTATCCATTGCTTGTGTGTGTGTTTGAATGGTGTATCACAATGTGGTTTGTGTCGGTCAAGACATTAGCGAGTTTTCACAACTCGCATGTCAAGTCGTCGTTTGTGTGTCGCATGTGTTTTTTCTATTTTGTCGAGTGTGAAGTGTCCATCGCGTCGCAGGTGTGTGCAGCAAGCCCCCATCAACTCAGGAAGAATTTATCTTGCAGATCCAAGACCAAGAGCTCAAGATTTCAAGCCCAAGGGACGCGGATAAATATTAAATAGTGAAAATAGTAACGCTACTTCGTGTAGTGTTACATTTCACTTGCTGTAGCCCCTTGGAGGGTTGGTTTCGAGACTCTTCGTGGTTGGGGACTCTGTGGTGGTGTACCACCAATCAGGACCTCAGCTCTTGGGGTATGTAGAGGCTGGGAACCATCTCACTCTCGAATTCTTCTTCCTAAGTTTTTTTTGTACTCCTAAGACTATAGTGGCTGCTGTACCTTCTGCCAGTCAAACCGCCATAGCGTCGTCAAATCTTCATGGAATTTCATGATTCAACTTGCTGCTGATAGATGACAGCAACGCGCTGTAGATCCAATTTATAGCTCACGATTTAAGTCATCGAGCAGATCGTGATCAATATTTGAAGCCGTCTGACGGAAATCCGACTGTGCTCTCTATCTCTCATTATTGGCACATCTGAGCCTATTGTGACTATAACAGAAGCACACACCTAGGCTAGCCTATAACTTCTACATACAACACATGTATAAGTTGACACACCCCCTAGGCTAGAAAAGGGGTGGTGCTAAGCAAGAAGCACACAGCTCAGGGTGGCACTACTAGTCCAACCACGGAGGCAGGGGTCCGAAGACCAGTCAAAAAGAGTACAAACAAGACTGAAGCAAGCCAGGGCGGCACTACTAGTCCAGCCACTGGAGGCAAGGCCACAAGGCCAGTCAGTCAGGTGTATCTAGTAGAGAGTACAAAATCAGGGTCCTAACAAGTGGGAAGCTACAGGAACAAGACCAAGCTGTACACAGTGCCGCTGATGATCTTTAGGCGCAAGCGCCTTCGTAAAGATATCAGCTGTGTTGGCCTCGGAGGCCAAGTGAACTACGCGGGCCTGGCAAAGCTGCTGTCGCTCGCGCAGGAGGAAGTACCGCAGCTGGATATGCTTCGCTCTGCCCTCAAGTCGAGGCTCCTGGCACAGGAGAATCATGGCCCTGTTGTCAGCGTACAGGACTAGGGCAGAGCTAGGCCGCTCACCTAAGTCTGTGAGCAAGAAGGTCAGCCAGCGGAGCTCCTGTGCCGCCATGGCACCGGCGTAGATCTCAGCCTCACAGCCGGACTGAGCAACAGATGACGAGCGAGTGGATCTCCAAGAGATAGTACCCGAACCAAGGCTAAAACAGTAGCCCTGCAACAACCTGAGAGTCTCAGCGTCGTCTGCCCAAGAAGCGTCTGTGTGCCCAGTAAGGACCACTGGCATGCGTTCTCCAAGCACTAACCCCATGCTCGATGTACTTGCTAGATAACGCAAAACCCTCTTAGTGGCCGACCAGTGCTGTGGTCGGTGTCTGCCGGTGGCCACAAAGCGAGCCAGGATGCTGAGAGGGTATGCGAGATCTGGGCAAGTGCAAGTCATCAGGTATATGAGGCAGCCAACCAGCTCTGCGTAGGGGGCGCTGGGCTCTACTAGCTCCTCAGGAATGGGAGCAGAGAGCCCATGGTCTACAGGTAGAGGTGTGGGCTGTGCAGAGGAGAACTGAAGACCGAACCTCTGAAGGACTTGACGCACTAAGTGTGACTGTGTCAAAGTGATGGTGCGTGCTGCTCTGTCCCTGGAGATCTGCGGGCCAAGATAGCGCCGCAGCTCTCCAAGGTCAGTGCAAGAGTGTCTTTTCAGCAGCTCGGCCTTCACGGAGGCCAGTGCGTCCCTGTCAGCAGTAGCGAAGACCAGGTCATCTACGTAGACAAGGATGTACAACAGAGTCCGGCCGGAACGCACAAAAAGCGAGGGGTCAGCAGAGGACGGAAAGAACTGCAAGTCTGCTAGCGTGGCACGCAGCGTGTCGAGCCACTCGCGGGGAGCCTGGCGCAGGCCGTAGACTGGGCGCCTGAGAAGCCACTGAGTCCCAGGGGGGAAGGTACCAGTAAAGCCTTGTGGTCGGCGCAAGTAGACCTGCTCGTGTAGGCTGCCCTGAAGAAAGGCAGTAGATAAGTTGAGGGAGTGAAGCTCGTAGTGGCGCTGCGCTCCTATGTATAGCAGTGCCCGAAGAGTACTCATCTTCGGGTTCGGGGCGAAGGTCTGGAAGAAGTCCACCCCCTCACGCTGGCTGAAGCCTCTAGCCACGTAGCGCGCCTTGAAGACAGGCGGCTCTCCCGGGGGGCGCTTCACCTTGAAGACAAGACCGTGCTGAGACATGTGACGCAGACGCGGGAGAGCAGGGTGACCTAAGCGGTGGTGCCACAGAAGGGACAGGTGAGTGAGGGACCGACACGTGCAAGCTGCAGCGACGTGGGAGGACGCACCAACCAGGGGGGAAGCGGTGTCGAGGGTAAACGTACCGGACACCAGGTCCCAGGGGAACGTCGGAAGGGGGGAACCTGAGACTGCCTCAGAACAGACAGCGAACCGCTCGTGCCCGTGGAACGTGGTGGTGACGCCGAGGTCCTGAAGACAGCCGACACCAACCAGGTTCCTAGAGAACGAGGGAACGTGGAGGCCTGTAAGAGAGCCCGAGGGAACGGCTGGACAGGGAAGGGAAGTGGAACTGCGAGCGACGACATGACCCGCAGAGGGGTCAGCGAGAGAGACAACAGCAGGCGCAGCAAGCGGCGTAAGCGTGGAGCGGTCGTGGAAGAAGCAGGCAGAGGCACCGGAGTCGAGAGTGAAGGACAGCGAGGCAGTAGCGAAGGCCGGGGACGGAGCCAGTGCAGAAACTAGGCTAGGCAAACTAGGCAGTCCTACGCCTGACGAAGCAGGGGAGGCTAAGCTTCACAAGGGTGCAACACCTAAACTAGAGTACACAGGGTAATAAGATCCAGCAACACTAGAAGCGTCAGAATACAAGGCATGCAAGGCAGCACCTATCTGATCCATGTCTAACTCAAAGATCGGCACGCCCTGGCAGAGCAGGCTGTGCCAGTTGGGGAGGTCCGGGGCCGGGCCAAAGCGACGACGAAAGAGATCGTCGAGGCAGCGGAAACAGCGGGCGGTCGCATGCGGGCGGCGACACAGAGTGCCGCGGAGAGGCCCGGTCTGAAGCTAGTACTGGCAGGTCACACCAATGGAGCTGCTGGTAGATGCCAAGCTGCGCGGGCCGCCACTACGGCCACCACCTTCGGAGGTACCGGGCCAACCAGGCGGGAGACGAGCCCACGGCTGCGGCGGCTGCTGCTGTGCCGGCGGCTGCTGCTGGGGCTGCTCCTGCTGCGGAGGCGACTGCGTCTGCTCCTGCCCACCGGTGGTAGTCCTCTCAGGCGGACTACCGTCACCACCACCACTACCACTACCACCGGCTCCACCACCACGACCGCCCTGGCAGCCACGGCCAGTGCGGCGCCGGCGCTGCTGCGGGTGGACCGCAGCAGCCGTCTCGGTAAGAGGGGTCGCAGTGGCGACCGCAGCCGAAATGTCAGTAATCGTGCACTGGGAGGGGGCACAGCCTTGAAAGATAGAGACTGCCGGCGCACCGCTCGACTGAGCGATAGTGCGCTGGCGAGTCTCGATCTCGGTGAGGGTGTCGACAAAGGCAGTCAGGGTGAGGTCACACGGGTGCGGGCTAAGGAAGCGGTCGTGAGCACTAGCGAGGCGGTCCGGCAGGCGCATGGCGATAAAATAGAGCGTCATGCAGAATGGGGGGGGGAGCGCAGTGAACTGGGCAGCAGTGCTGGCACTGCTATAGCGAGACTCTAGAGCAGGCAAGTGAGTGGCAGAGTCTGGGACAGTAGGGAAGGCAGCAAGGTCGGGGAACAGCATCGGGAAGAGCAAGCGTCTGGCAGAAGTGGATGCAGCCGTGGAATAGCGAGCAACAACAGCGTCTAAATAAGCTTTGGCCATATCAACCGTAGCGAAGCGCGAGCGCTCAGACAAAGGGAGGGCGTGACTGATGGCAACCTGAGCTACTGCATCGCGAGAGTCCCAGACCGCACAGGCAAGCGCAGCAGTAGAGAAAGCCTCACTCTCAGCAGAGGTGGGGTCAGTAGGGAGGGGAGCAGGTGCAGGGGGGCGGGGGAACAAGCCATCAGCATGGACCACCAAAGAGTGCCCATCCTGGCGCTGACCTGTAAGCTAACGGTGGAGATCGGAGAGCCAGGCGGCGAAGTCAACCGCGTGGCCCTCAACGTCTAGTCGGAGCACGAAGTCAGCCATCGTGCAGGGTCAGCGGCACAGCGCCGCAGCGACACAGCGGCACAGGGACACAGCGGCACAGCTCTTCAGCTCCGCAGGAGCACAGCGGCACGGGGACACGGCGGCAGCACTCTCCAGTGGGGCGGCTGCTGTTGGTGCAACCCTATGGCTTGCACTCGACTTGTCGTCCTTGTTTGTGTGTGTGCATGCATGGCATGGAATGAATTGTGAGTCTATGTCATTGCTATCCAGTGCTTGTGTGTGTGTTTGAATGGTGTATCACAATGTGGTTTGTGTCGGTCAAGACATTTGCGAGTTTTTACAACTCGCATGTCAAGTCGTCGTTTGTGTGTCGCATGTGTTTCTTTATTTTGTCGAGTGTGAAGTGTCCATCGCGTCGCAGGTGTATGCAGCAAGCCCCCATCAACTCAAGAAGAATTTATCTTGCAAATCCAAGACCAAGAGCTCAAGATTTCAAGCCCAAGGGACGCGGATAAATATTAAATAGTGAAAATAGTAATGCTACTTCGTGTAGTGTTACATTTCACTTGGTGTAGCCCCTTGGAGGGTTGGTTTCGAGACTCTTCGTGGTTGGGGACTCTGTGGTGGTGTACCACCAACCTGGACCTCGGCTCTTGGGGTATGTAGAGGCTGGGAACCATCTCCCTCTCGAATTCTTCTTCCTAAGTTTTTGTACTCCTAAGACTATAGTGGCTGCTGTACCTTCTGCCAGTCAAACCGCCATAGCGTCGTCAAATCTTCATGGAATTTCATGATTCAACTTGCTGCTGATAGACGACAGCAACGCGCTCTAGATCCAATTTACAAATCACTGTTTAAGTCAGCGAGCAGATCGTAATCAATATTTGAAGCTGTCTGACAGAAATCCGACTGTGCTCTCTATCTCTCATTATAGGCACATCTGAGCCTATTGTGATTATAACAGCTGCGAGGTGCTCCAGCGCGGGCGAGCAGAAGACACGGCGCCCGAGGTGGCGCGACAGGTCGAGCAGGCACGAGGAGGGGCCGGGCGGGCAGTAGAAAGGGGCCGGGCTGGCGCTGGGAGCCGAGCAGGTGCGACGGGGCCGGGCTGGCGCGAGAGGCCGGGCGGGGGCTAAAGGCCGGGCGGGCGCTAGGAGGGGGGCCGGGCGGGCGCACTGGAGCTGGGCGGGCGCTAAAGGCCGGGCGGGCGCTAGGAGGGGCCAGGCAGGCGCTGGACGGCCGGGCAGGCGCGACTGGGGCCGGGCGGGCGCTAGGAGGGGCCGAGCGGCGCTAGGAGGAGGCTGGGCGAACGCTGATGGGGCCGGGCTGGCGCTAGGAGGGGGGCGTGCGGGCGCTAGGAGGGGCCGGGCGAGCGCTACTGGGGCCTGACGGGCGCTAGGGAGGGGCCGGACCGGCGGTCGAAGGGCCGTGCGGGAGCTAGGAGGGGCTGGGCGGCAGCTAGGAGGGGCCTAGCGGGCGCGACGGGCCGGCCCGGCGCGAAAGGCCGGGCGGGGGCTACGAGCCAAGCAGGCGCGAAAGGGGCTGGGAGGCCGTGAGAGGGCGCGGCAGGGGCCGGGCGTGCGTTACGGGCCGGGCGGGCGCGACGGGCCCAGCGGGCGCGACGGGGCCTAGAGGGCGCGATGGGGCCTAGCGGGCGCGACGGGGCCTAGCGGGCGCGACGGGGGGCCTAGCGGGCGCGAAGGGGCCAGGCGCTAAGGGGCTAGCTAGGGCGCGTAGGCTAGGGCGTTGGCGGAAGCGGGTGGGCGGGGGACCTAACCTAAGCGTGATACCATGTTAGAATACGAGAATGAGTTGACTAGTGTGAGAAACCTAGAACATATACCTGTGGGGTTGTACTCACTAGAAGCACACACCTAGGCTAGCCTATAACTTCTACATACAACACATGTATAAGTTGACAAACCCCCCTTCTTGTATCCCCCTCTTCTAGTCAAACCCTCTTCTCTCTCGTCAATTTCTACTTCCTAAAACCTCACGTTATTTCATGGCTCCTCTTACAAGTTAGCTCTTCTAATACTATGTACCTATCTACAAGCATCTACTGGCATCTACAAACGCAAACGCAAACACTCATATACTGCAACCTTCTGTCCATGCTCTTCACTTTTCAGCCTCTAGCAGCATCCCCTTGTGCAAACGCAACGGGCCACTTAGTCATAGGGGACTTGGGCGGTCGGGATTGCACATCGTGCGCATCACCACCTCTTGACCCCCCAAACCCTCCATATCCCCTACTTTCGGAGCTTGTGTGCGGTCGAGGCACCGTGGTGGTAGTACTGCTCGGCTGTTGGGCTTGTGCGACAAGCTCTTGGCAAAGACAAGTTTCCTTAAATCCGGTGACATGGCTTCAACAACTGCTGCCCTATTCGTGGCTGGGTCATCGTACGACACGCTGCGGCCAATTCTGGAGCGCGAGGAAGCATTGGAGGCATGGGAAGCGTGGGAAGCGTGGGAAGCATGGGAGGCATGGGAAGCATGGGAGGCATGGGAAGCGTGGGAGGCATGGGAAGCATGGGAGGCATGGGAAGCGTGGGAGGCATGGGAAGCGTGGGAGGCATGGGAAGCGTGGGAGGCGTGTGGCTGCATGACGTGGTCCTGGTGCAGCCAAGGCAGCTCGCCCGCCACATCCGCCTGCTGCTGCTCGCCCCAGTTACCCCAACCATGCGCACCGTGAGCGCTCTGACCACCCTGGGAGCCACGGGCACTGGCTTCAGTGCCAGTGGGTGAGGAGAACACATCCCGGCCGCTGCGGCTCCACAGGTGCTTGAGGGGAGGAATGTGGGAGGAGAGGCTCCACCGGCGAGTGATCTCAGGCAGGTGCTCGGAAGGAGAGATCGGGCTTGCAGCACCACGAGCACCACCGGGGGACAAGCCACTTCGGTCACGGTCACACCCCCCTCTGCTTGAATCCCGGTCATACCCCCCTCTGCTTGAATCACGGTCATACCCCCCTCTGCTTGAATCACGGGCATACCCGCCTTGTCCTGATTCCAAGCTGTGAGGGTCGGTTCTTGACCGAGCCAGCGGTGGGGTGAAGGGCTGCCTGCCGCCATGCCCCGCCTCGTAATGCTCCTGGCTCTCCTCTTCCCCCCACCCCTCCCCATGCACCACCAACCTCTCCGGTCTGCGGCCCTTCACCATGCCATAGCAGCTAACAGCAGTGTTTTCGTAAGCAGCAGCAGTATCGTCCCTGTCACGAGATGGAGCAAAGCCCTTATTACTGCCACCAGAACCACCACCAGCAGCCTTGCCCTGCCAGCCCAGGCTGTGCGCCTTGGTGATGTGCTGCTGCTGCTTGTCACCGCCCTCCTTCACGGACCGGCTGCGCCGCATCAGTGGCCCGCTGTGGAAGATGGCGTCCAGCCCGCCCCACGCAGCCTGGCTGCTCTTGTTGGGGTTGGGAGTGGCAGAGGTAGGTGTGGTGGAGGTGGGTGTGGCGGAGGTGGGTGTGGAGGTGCTACTTTTCCTGCTAAAAGACGAACTGAATCCGAACAGCCCACTGTTCCACAGGTGATTTGTGTCTGATTTGCTTCTCACCGCTCGGTTCAGGTCGTTAGGGCTGTCACTTTCGCCACTCTCGCCAGTGTAACTGCAGTTTGCAAATGCCAGCTCGCCAGCCAAATCGCTTTTCCCGTTAGAGCTTGCATAAGCGGAACCAACCCTACCAGACGAGAGACGTTGCCATTCGCCGGTACGCTCAGAAACGAGGAGGTTACTGTACTCCACGTTCTGCGACCCTAATCCCTCACCGCCGTTACCACTGCTAGCCCGCGCGAAGCTACGAGTGCTATCCGCAGTCACCCAACTGTTCCTGCTGTCACTCGTAGCACCGCTGCCAGGGCTGCTCCACGTGGCACCCCACACGAGAGCACGCGCGGAAGCGCCGGTCACAGGCAGGGCTCCCGGCCAAACAAGCGGCCGCACGTCCCTGCGCCTGGCGACGCTGCTGTCACTCTCCGCGCGCCGTAACTCCATCGCCCCCCAGCGCTCGCTCCCCTCCTCCTCGTCGCCTCCCGCGAGCGTCACGAAATAGTCGCCCTTGGCTGCGTCGCCCTCCGTGCGATCGCCACCGCCTTCGTCTAGCCCGTCCTCTGTCGAATCTCGCGAGGCCCCGTCGTCACCTAACCCGTCCTCTCTCAGTTGTCGCGAGGCACCGTCGTCCGGCCCTTCGTCTCGCGGCTCCGCATCGTGCAGTGCTTCCCGCGCCCGCGCCGGCTTGCGTCTCGAAAGCCCGCGAGTCGGCACGAGGCCCGCCGCCGCCTTGGCGGCAGCACCAGCGGAAGCGGCGACGGACAGCCGGCCCCTCGGGCTCGCCGCTTTTCCCCCCACTGGTGTCGGGCCCGTGCTCCCGCCACCTCTCCACCCGCTCGTGCCGTTCCTCCCGCCGCCAAACCCCCCGCTACCGCCAAACTCGCTGCTGCCGCCGAGGCCGCTGCTGCTGGCGGGTCGCGCGACGAGCTGGAGAAGGCTGCTGCTGCAGTCCAGCGCGCCCCGCTCCTTCCAGCCCTCCACGGCGCGCTCGCTCACGCGCTGCTGCCGCTGCAGGGAGGGGCGGCGGAGCGTCGCGGCGAGCAGGCTCCACGCGCTGTGCGCCTCGCGCACCACGCGCAGCGCCTTCCGCGCAGATTCCTCCCAGTCCCCCTCGTCGTCGCGCTGCGGGGATTCGGGGATCCGCCATGGGTCCGGGCCCACAGCCGTGAACCCTCCCGCGTCGGCCCACTCCGTGACTCGCGGCAGCGTCGTCGCCGCCACGGCCGCTATCTCCCCCTCCGCGACCGACGGGTCATCCGCCGCCACGACGACGAGCTTCCACGAAACTTCCGACCCCAGCCCCGGGCGCAGGCGCACGGGCAGCGCGAGCAGCGGCAGCACGGGGAACACGTCGCCGGGGTCGCGCTCCTTGGCGCCCACCTCCACCGCCTCCAACGGCGCGTTATCCAGAATCACGGGAAACGCGGCGTCGGATTCGTCATAAGGGTCGCCCAAGAGGTCGCCAAAGTGGGCGCTCGAGGGGCCGCAGGGAACGGAGAGCGAGCGGAAATGGCCGCGTTATGCTGTAACGAAGGTTTCGCGCGCGGGAAGTGCGGGGGCAGTGGGTTGAGGGGGGGCGGGCGCGAGCACGCAGGTCTGCGGGATAATGCCGACGTTCCACGGGCGCTGCTCCGCGTCGTCCACGCGCACGCTGCCGTCCAGCGACAACCGGCGACGACGACCCGAGAGCGACGCGGCGAACGACGACGACTTGGACGACGTGCAGACGAAGTTGAGCGGCGCGGGGAGCTCGTCGCGGGACCAGCAGGGACTGGCGGCGGCGGGAGTGGGGGAGAAGAGGATGACGTCATGCCAGATGGAGACGACGTGGCCCGCTCGAATGAGAGGCAGGAGATTGCCCTGTGGGCGCTCCGACATGAGGCGAGGCGACTGGGCGAACACGACGTTACATCGTAGTGTAAAGCCGAACGTACTAACCTACTAATGAAGGAGAACCTGATGAGAAAAAAACGTCACAGTCCGTTCAGAAGTTTCTTGTGTTGTGCTTAGCAACGACAGCCATGGTTCATCCATGCTTGTGTCCTTCCAACCAAGGGTTGCTTTGCCTTGGCTCCTCGCCAGATGAGCATGTGACTCTACGGTAGTTGGCCCACCGCGGCAAGCAACAACCTCCCTGCTCACTGTACAGAACAGTGCGCCTGCCACTGCGGTCGCTTGGTTTGGTCAGAACAACCAGGCGAGATCGCAGCCTCCGAAATTGTCACAACACAGAGCAGAGCCTAGTCAGGACACGTTCGGGTATGGTTATTGTAGATCGTTTTGCCGCTAACTGATAATGTGAGGGATTTCCTCGAGCTCACCCCCAAACCAAAACCTTCTTAAAGCCCCAGGCTACAATAGCAAAGGTGGGCCCAACTTGAACGTTTGCCTTCTAAAATCTAAGTATAGGATGACTGACTAGAATTACTGTTGTGAAATTCGGATGGAAAGGAATCTGAAATGTTTCGCTCGCTTATGATTGGCTGACGCAACAATCTGCTTAAGGAAAGTGTACAGTGCGACACTTCTTACGCGCTCGCGACTTGAACGATTCGCGTGTCAGAAAGGATCGCATGTGCAATATTTTTTCCCTGGAACCCAACTCGATTTTCAAGTTGGGACCTGGTTTGCTTCTCGGGTGTCACAGGGGGGTTCAGGGACAGTGCGACACCTCGCGAGCTGTACGACGAGAAAGGTCGTCGAAATAATCGCAAATGAACAGTAATTCCGCTCCGAACTGGAAATTTTTTCATACGAACGGCTTCCAAATCTATTTCGAACATAGCCAGCTGCCCCCCCAAAAAAACAAGAGACAACGCAATCCTCTTAGGGTTGCCGAGTTTTTTTTAATATGTGTATTAATTCTGTTTAAACTTACATACTTAAGCTAGTTATCGAACTTCAAAGCGTAAGTATCTATTTGTCAAACATGTGTAGTTATCATGTTTGTATAGACTGTATAGGGTCACCTTCTAGAGAGTACAACATTTAGGTATATGTTTGTGTACTCTCTCTCTCTTATTATTCAATTCTAGGTTTAATATGGTATCACGAGTAGGTTTCGACCCCCCCCCCCCCCCCCCCCCCCACCTACCGCTTCCGCTCCTCCCGTCGCGTCTCCTAGCCTCGCCTCGCCCCTCCTGAGCCCAGTCGCGACCCCTCCCCCTAGCCCCGTCGCGCCCCTTCCAGGGCCTCGTAGCGCCCCTCCAGGCCCCGTCGCGCCCCCCTTCCAGGGCTTCGTAACGCCCCTCCAGGCCCCCGTCGCGCCCCTCCAGGGCTCTGTAGCGCCCCTCCAGGGCCCCGTCGCGCCCCCTAGCGCCCCTCCTGGGCCCCGTAGCGCCCCTCCAGGGCCCCGTCGCGCCCCTTCGCGCCCCTCCTGGGCCCCGTAGCGCCCCTCCAGGGCCCCGTCGCGCCCCTTAGCGCCCCTCCTGGGCCCCGTCGCGCTCCTCACAGGCCCCGTAGCGCCCCGTAGCGCCCCTCCTGGGCCTCGTCGCGCCCCTCCTGGGTTCCGTAGCGCCCCTCCTGGGCTTCGTAACGCCCCTCCCAGGCCCCGTCGCGCCCCTCCTGGGCTCCGTAGCGCCCCTACTGGGACCCGTCGCGCCCTCCCTGGGCCCTGTAGCGCCCCTCCTGGGCCCCGTCGTGCCCCTCCCAGGCCCCGTCGCGCCCCTCCTAGGCCCGTAGTGCCCCTCCTGGGCCCGTAGCGCCCCTCCTGGGCCCCCATTGCGCCCCTCCTGAGCCCCGCCGCGCCCCTCCTGGGCCCCCATTGCGCCCCTCCTGGGCCCGTAGCGCCCCTCCTGGGCCTGTTGCGCCCCTCCTGGGCCCTGCCGCGCTCCTCCCTGGGCCCCGTATCCACCCTCCTGGGCCCCGTCGCCCCTGCTCGGCCCCGTCGCCCCTGCTCGCCCTGTCGCAGCCTCTCGGCCCCGTGGCGCCCGCCCTGCCCCTGTCGCAGCTGCCCGGCCCCTGTCGCACCTGCCCGGCCCCGTCGCGCCCGCCCGGCCCCGTCGACCCCGCCCGGCCCTGCTGTGTCCTGCCCGGCCCCGTCGCTGCCGCCCGGCCCTGTCGCTGCCGCCCGGCCTCGTAGCTGCCGCCCGGCCCTGTCGCTGCCGCCCGGCCTCGTAGCTGCCGCCCGGCCTTGTCGCTGCCGCCCGGCCCCGTCGCAGCCGCCCGGCCCCGTCCCAGCCGCCCGGCCCCGTCGCAGCCGCCCGGCCCCGTCCCAGCCGCCCGGCCTCGTCGCTGCCGCCCGGCCCCGTCGCAGCCGCCCGGCCCCTCGTCGCGCCTGCCCGGCCCCGTCGCGCCTGCCCGGCCCCGTCGCGCCTGCCCGGCCTCGACGTGCCTGCCCGGCCCCGTCGCGCCTGCCCGGCCCCGTCGCGCCTGCCCCGGCCCTCCATACTTCCTGGTACTGTCCCCCGTTCCCCGCACCACTTTGCACCCTCCTGCACTTTCCTGCCCCGCCTTGCACCGCATTGCACCTCACTGAACCGCACTGACCGCACTGCACCGCACTGGACCGCACTGCACCGCACTGCATCGCACTGCACCGCACTGGACCGCACTGCACCGCCCTGCACCGCACTGCACAGCACTACACCGCACTCCACTGTCCTCCACTGCCCCTCATGGCTGCTGAGCTTCGTTTTGATGCTGAGGGTCAGCCTCTGGAGTTCGAGGCGTGGTTGGCTGACCTTTGCCGCCACCTCACTGGTCAGCGGCAGGACGGCCACCCGCTTTCTGCACACCTAGACGGTATGCTCCCCTGCCCTGACCCCCCTGCTGTGCTGCCCGCTGATCCCACGCCCGCTGAGCGCGAGTCCACTGCCGCCGCTGCCCTTGCCCGCTCTGTCTGGCTTTCCCGCGATGCCCTTGCTCAGCTCGCCATTAGCAATGCCCTCCCCCCCCTTGAGCGCCCTCGCTTTAGAACCATTTCTACCGCCCAGGCCTACCTCGATGCTGTCATCAAGCGCTATTCTACCCCTCCTGCTGCCTCAGTGGGTCGCCTGATCCTCCCCCTGCTCTTTCCTGACCTGGCGTCCTTCCCCACTGTCTCTGACCTCGCTGCCCACCTGCGCTCGATAGATGAGGCCTGGCGCGCTGCCTGCACTGATGCACAGCTTAGAGTCCACCAGCCTCCCATGACCTCTACCCTCTACCTCCTTGCCACCCGCCTCCCTGACCGCCTTGCCGCCTCCCGCGACCAGTTCCTTAGCATCCACCCTGCTGCTCTCACCCTCACTGACTTTGTTGACACCCTGACTGCCATAGAGACTCGTCACCGCTCCATAGCCCAGGCGAGCGGTACGGTACCGGTCCCTATCTTTCAGGGTTGTGCCCCCGCTCAGTGTACCTTCTCCGACGGCTCTGTCGCTGTGGCTGAGACTGCTGCTGCAGTGCAGTCCCGCTCGGGGAAGGGCCGCCGCCCCAAGGTTGGGAGCGGCGGGGGTGGCGGGGGTGCGGGTGGGGGTAGTGGTGGAGGCGGGTCGTCCGGTGCCGGTGCGGACGTGGGGACCCTGCCCGGTCCAGCTGCCCCGCTGCCTCCACCGTTGCAGCAGCCGCAGCAGCAGCAGCCTCCGCAGCAGCCGCAGCAGCCGCCGCAGGCGAGGCCGGCGAGTGCTCTCCCGCCTGGGTGGCCTGGAGCTGGTGGTGGTCGTGCGCGTGGTGGTGCACCGGGTGGTGGTTCTGGAGGCGGGCCCTGTCAGTACCAGATCCAGACCGGTCCTCGCCGCGGCTTCGTTTGCGGTAAGATCGGTCATTCCACTCCTCGCTGTTTTCGTCGTCTGGACGACCTGTTCCGCCAGCGCTTTGGCCCGGCGCCCGACCTCCCGGACTGGCACAGCTTGCTTAGGCGTAGCATTCGGATTTTTGACTTGGACATGGATGCCATTGTAGCAGCCTTGCATGTGATGTATGCCGATGACTCTAGTGTGCTTCCCTCTTATTACCCCGTGTTGCCTAGTGTAGCTGTGCCTAGCGTAGACTCCCCTGCTGCGTCAAGCGTAGGATCTCCTGCTTTGCTTAGCCTCGGTGCTTCCACCGCTTCACTGTCGCCCCGCGCGACTGCTGCGCTTTCCTTCACCTTGGACTCTGGCGCCTCCCGGTGTTTCTTCCGCGACTCCACGACGCTGACGCCGCTGCCTGTTCCCGCTGCAGTTACTCTTGCTGACCCCTCCGGTGGTCCCGTCGTTGCCCGCAGTTCCACCTCCCTTCCCTGTCCGGCGGTTCCTTCAAGTTCGCTCACCGGTCTGCATATCCCCTCGTTCTCCAGGAACCTAGTTGGTGTCGGCTGCCTCCAGGACCTTGGCGTCACCACTACGTTCCCTGGTCACGAGCGGTATGCTGTCTGTACCGAGGCCGCCACTGGTGCCCCCCTTACCACTTTCCCCCGGGACCCGGTGTCCGGCCTGTTCACACTTGACACCGCGACGTCCCCGGCTGGGTCTTCCCCCCAGGTAGCTGCGTCCACCCAGGTTGCTGCTGCGTGCTCCTGTCGGTCCCTCACTCATCCGACTCTCCTTTGGCACCACCGCCTTGGTCACCCTGCACTCCCGCGTCTGCGTCACATGTCCCAGCACGGTCTCGTCCTTGGTCTCCCCGGTTCGTTCCCTGAGTTTCCCTCATCCCCCGCCCCACCGTGCACGCCTTGTGTCGAGGGCCGGCTCCGCCGTGCCCCTCACTCCTCCTCTTTTCCCCCTACCACCGCACCCCTGCAGACTCTGCACATGGACGTCTGGGGCCCAGCCCCGGTCCATGGGCCGCGTCGCGAGCGCTTCTTCCTAGTGCTTGTCGACGACTTCACACGTTACACCACCGTCTTTCCCCAGGAGCGGAAGGCCGACGTGCCTGACGTTCTCATCCCCTGGCTTGTCTCTGCTCGTCTCCACCGCGGTCTCCCTGCCTTGCGCCTCCACTCCGACCGGGGTGGCGAGTTCGCCTCAGGTGTCCTTGGTCGCTTCTGTCGTGCGGAGGGCATCACCCAGACGTTTACCCTGCCGGACTCCCCGCAGCAGAATGGGGTCGCTGAGCGACGCATCGGTTTGGTCATGGAGGTGGCTCGCACCTCC